TATAAGTTTTTGGAAGACATAATCATGACCACAGAAGTACAAGTGTTAAAAACCAAACTTTTTTTCCATGACTAGGAAAGTATAAATTAAATATACAAAAATTAAAAAAATAATGAAGTTAGCAATTCCAGTTTGTCAGTTATTCCTCTTTGCAGAAGTCATTATATACAATGATTGTCAATTCCTTTCATCATTAGCATTCAGAAGTGCTGTTGAAAAGTATTTGCCCTCAGCAGCCACTTCTCAAAATCTGAACAAAGTTAATAGATTATTTTTTAACTTTTAAATCCCTTTTAGCTTGGTTTGGATTAAACTTAATCTTATGATTGGTCAGATTTGGGGAAAATCAATGTCACCAAAACCTCAGCACCACTTCATATATATATATATATATATATATATATTTTGATTAGGAAAAAAAAACATTGTGTAGAGCTAACAATCTTAGAGAGAATCATATGATAAAACATTATTAGCTAAAGCATTATGTATTTTTGCTCTTATTGTGTAGATCCCCTGAGATCAAAGCAATTAGAAAAACTGCTTGTCTTATTCTGTACATCCAAAGTTGGTTTAAATATAAAAGAAACCTTTCAAAGTGATTTTGGCAACATCAAGAATATTCTTTGGAATGTATTGTTTCTCAAAAGTACTGTCCAATATGCATTACCATATAGTAAACTAGTTACTATAGAGCAGAGCAGCACTTTTGTTTCTAATGACAATTTCCAACCCCTTAATATTTTGCTTAGTTTCTGAAAGCCATCTGTCACTATTCTTATGCACTTTCAAATTTGTCACATTTTCTGTTGTATCTGTTGGCACAGAGAATAAAGTTCATGCAAATGCTTGATTTTAACATCCCCAATATGTAACTTACAACTTAGACTTTTTTAGTTGAAAACCATGATTTTGTCTTAGAGTTCAGAGTTAGTCCTTTCTTCATGCTTTCTTCAACTACCTTGCTTAATAATTCTTTCAATTTTGATTCTGAATCTGTATCAACACTGTCATTTGCACAATGAATATTGTGATGGTTATGTCTGCCAAAAATAAATCCTGGTGGGCCTTCTAATCTTCTGAGAATTGTCTCTTAGTACAAATTAAATCTGATGAAAAAAACACATCTTTCTTGCACTCCTATTTTTAATATATTCACTAAACTTGTTCTATATTCACATGCAAACTTTTTTTCCAAGTGGACATAACAGATTATTCAAATATCTTTCCCGTGTAAATCATGCTTTCTTAATATTTCAAGGAGCTTCTCATGACATAACTTTTCAAATGCCTTTGTGCTATCTATGAAACAGGTATACATCTTTCTGCATTTGTACCGATAGCATTCTGATCAGAAAAATAACATTTCTTTTTACAGTATATTGAACAAAGCCACACTGTTCTTACCTTATTTCTGGTCTAATTAATCCTAATGATAAGTTATATGCTCATTAAACTTATTGTCTAGTTGAGTTGGCATTCATTTGCACCTGCTTTCTTTGGCAGTGATATAAAGAAAGACTTACTGAGGTTTTCCTGTATTTTGGGATTCTTGTATAGTTCATTTGTGTGTGCGTGTGTGTGGTGGGGGTTCAATTTCAAATTGCAACATTACATAAACAAGTAATGCATGATATTCTTCATTTTTTATTGAAATTATTTTTAAGAAATAATATATTTAAAAAATATTCTCAATTGTGCCAAAATCACTTTGAAAGGTTTCTTCTATATTTAAACCAAATTTGAATGTACAGAATAAGCCAAGCAGTTTTTAATTGTTTTGGTTTCAATGTGCACATAAAAGCCAAAATGCACAGTATTGTTTGAGCTAATTATGTTTTATGATTCTCTGCAAGATTGTAAGCTCTGTACATTTTTCTCCAATCAATAATATTAAACATGAGAAAATGATGAAAAACTCTTGGCCCAACCCATTTTCCCAAATATAATAATCATAACTGATGAAGCAAAGATTGTGTGTGTACATTCTTATATTTGGATAGATTTTGGGAAGTGAGTTGAACTAAAAACTTATTAGTATTCCTGTGTATGTGTGTATATACATACACACAGAATATGCAAGATAATGGTCAACACCTTTAGCAGGTCATGAATGAAAGGTCACCTATAATATTATATAACACATGCCAAATTGTAAGGTTCTCATTTCTCTTTCAAGATCTATCAATTGCAGCTTCGAATGTGACAGAAAATGAAATGACATGCAGTACACAGCAACAGCCATCAACCAGAATAACTTGGAGATGGCTAACTTTTTGAAAGTGGCTAGATAATCTGGAAGAATAGCACATGGCTCTGTATGGTCCATAAAGTGATACACACCAAGTTTATGCCATCCATGATGGTCCTAGAGGTTACAAACAATTAGAATCATATTATTACTTCTTCCTGCAGGGCCTTAGTGTCAATGCTATTGTATACATTAGCAGAGTGGTTGCATGTCATCCTCTCTCATGTGACCCATGTAATCTAAGAGAGGTTGGCTAAGAATTTTCAAGATCACGTAATTTCCCAAAATGTGGCCTCCTATCTCTTCTGATTTAAATGTTCTGGCCTACTATCCAAGAGATGCCATTGAGAGGAGATCAACTAATAGCCCCACAATATTAATGACTCTTTGTAGGTTGCCATTTCCTTAAACAGAAACATTTGGTTTTCATTGAACAGTTAGTGTTACTGTCAGTTGAAATTTATGAAATGTTTTTCTCAAAACAGTTTTTCAATAAAATAGGTTTCTTTAGCTCACTGTAATTGCTCTTCTTAGTATTGATGGTAGTTCCCTTCCAAACCTTTTGCTTAAAAGGTAGCCAATTAATATCCAAAGACAACATCCTGATAAGATTCACCAATGACAGTTATCAGTTCATGAATAAAATCTGCAAAAATCTTTTTAGTACAGAAATGGCATTTTCTACAAGATTTTACAAACCTATTCAGGTATTTCAAGATTTGTTATTAAAATTTTATTCTGTAGTTGTTCATTACAACTTTAAGTACATTAAGCAAGCAACATGTATTGAAAACAAAGATGGCCACATTACTGAGGATAAGGAATGTGATTTCAAATCTCATTTATGAACCATGTTGCTTAATTCATGGTTACAGCATAAATAGCAAAGTAATGAAAATGTTGTGGTAAAAACAGAACAAAAACTTAAGACTTATATTCCAAAGAGTTGTTAAGGTGACTTCACTCATTAGATTGTTGCTGTTACATTACACCTATCTGTTCTAAAGCCAGTTTATAATCTATGAGGAGAAAAACAGATTTATTTTTTTTATTTATTTTTTATTTTTTTACAGAAATAAGCAAACAGAAATCATTTCTGCAAATGTGACCCACATATATGATGGGATTCTGAAAAGATGGATTAAAGTTGTCAAAATTAAATAAAAAACAAGTAGGAAAATCTTTATAAATTTGACATAAGAAACTGAATAAAGTGAAAAAAAAAAAAAAAAAATTTATAAAAGGTTTTCCAACTTGTTCCTTATTTAATCACAAGTAATTCTCTCTCTCATATATATATATATATATATATATATATATATATATACACACACACACACCCTCCAATTTCCTCCTTACTGAGGAAAAAAAAAAAACTATATGCTGAAATAAGACTGGAGAATGAATTGGATGATACATTGTGCTAACAATTGTCTGAACAACTCTCAAAATAATACTCATAAGTAATTTCTTTTTAAATATTTTTACAAAAATAATATACTTTTCATGATTTTAAAATTTAAACTAAAAATCATGCAAAATTCAGATGAACACATAAATTGATGAATACAAAAGAAAAGAAAAAAAAAAAAGAAAAATAATTTCAAATTATAAAAAGAATTTTGTGATGTAAATAAACATTTGTCTTTATTACAATATATTTTTATGTACTGCATGTCAACATTCCTTGAACATTGATGGGGAAATGAACAATTGTCTCACCCAACAAGCAAACCTCCGTTAATTACTCGGTTTAATAATCTGGTTCAAGGTCACTATTTATCAATTATTCAATCTTTCGAACAAGAAATAATTACTTGACAGTGCCTATTTCCTCTCCAAACTACATGTAATGTTGAATTCATGGAACCAGTAGCAAGGAATAATCTCTGACTTGATTATACTCTTTTTCAGCCATTGTGACATGTCAGTGGTGAGATCCTTGTCAGTACCACTGATGATAGGACATAGGGCAGGTAAATATGTCTTTCATAAGATCATTAATATAAAGTGAACACTTGCAGTTTAACAATATGACTTGGTTCACTGAATATCCTCTGAACCAATAACTGCTTGGTCACTGATGAGTTTTTTTTTTGTTTTTTTTTTTAAATAAATTTAATAATGAAAAAGAACTGAAAATTCAATATTTTCAAAATAAAAAAAATGTATGCACAAATGCATTGGGAGGAAAAAAAAAAAAAAAAAAAAAAAAATTTTTCTAAGAAATGTTCTCATAAAACAGAAAAGTCATAGGTAACATGAAAACTATTTCCAGTATGAAAAATACTGGAATTTTTTTTTCCATTAAATGACACAGTACTCGTTTAATATATAACTAAAAACTAGAAATGTTGATATGAAACATCATTAGAAAAATTAATCATATTTAAGTATCCACCTAACAATCTTGTAACATGACAGTAAATTATTGCTGCTAGTAAAACTAAAAATGTAACAGGAAACCATTTTAAAAAAAGATTTTCATTAGGCTGAAAAAGTATTGAATAAAACACTGAAATAAAATAAATTTAAATTAAACAAAAATAATATTTAAAATATTAAAACAAAAAACTTATTAGATTAAAATTTGTAGATATCAGAATATTCAAAATGGCTGAAATTGAACACATTCTGCACAACTTCATGAGTGTATAAATCCTGAAGGAAAGATGTAATAATATTTCATATACATTAAAACAAATGTAATTATATAAATGCTAAAAGCCTCCAAATAATAGAAGCTTACCTGAAATGTGAAGCTGAGACATATCTGGAGGTTGTGGGAATGGCTGGCCATAGAGATCACTGGTCTTTGGAGAAACAGTTACTGATTCTCTGACTTGGCCCACAGCAGCAATGAGCTGAAAACAAAACAGTTTAATTGAAATATCTTTTACAATTCTTATAAATTAATGTAAACATTTGAGATTTCAAGTTTGTATATGAAAAGACATTCCTATTATTCTTTGATGTATCCATTATTATGAGTTTATGCACATTGCCTAAACTGCTATATATATATATATATATATATATATCAATGATTACATGAGAATAAATCTTTAGTCATTCTGCAATTCCCTCTATTTAGACTCCCTACAATCTATATTTTCTTTTCTTGCAATGGTATTTAGTAATATTTTATATCTTTTGAAGAACCATTTTCATTAGTTTTACTCCATCTTTTTAGTGATTTTTATCTCAGAAAGTAACAATATTAAGTAAAACCAGGAATAGAATATTGAAAATGCTTCATCTAACTCAATTTCCAATAAAAAAAAAATTTAATAGATTACATTCTTTGTGGCAGTTCAGTGAAATTTATCTCATTTCATGTTGTTTGTGACTAAAACTCATTTATATTTTAATATTTTCTAAATTAGAAGCAATTATCAATTACCTCACTTCCAATTTGAAAATTGTCATTTTAAGAAATTATAATTAAAAAAATTTCAACAAAGTTTAAATTTATCTGATACACAAAATCAAAATATTACAGCAATGAAAGAGACAACATTTGTGCCTAGGTTTCTCTCTCACACATACAATGTACATATGTGTTAAAATATAGTTTAAAGCTATGCTATTGCTATAGAGTATAAAGTGCTCAATATGCACGATACAGCATAAATATAAGCTGTGTTGAGGAGTTCAACACCAAATGGCCCAAAGATTGTGTTCAAGGATGAAACTGTCACTATTCAGTGTTGACCTATGTCCCCACTGCTTTTATAATTATAGTAAAGCATTGACAAAATTGAATTGCTCTATAAAAAAAAAAAAAGAAGTCCTTTGACAAAGTGGGATCAAAATTTCAAAGGATATTTTATGAAATATATTAGTCATCAGTTTTTCAAAGAAAAAAGAACTTCTGATTGGTTCAAATATTTTTTGTTTGTGACATAAAATGCCTGCTTCTCTGTAAGGAAGAGATGGAGGAAATTGATTTGAAGTTGGGAGAAAGGATCACATTATACGCCTGTAATATTTTGGCAATATTATATACTTGTATCAATTAAGTAGCCAAGATATTGGTGCCCAGGCTAAAATTGCACCTATTATAAACAGCCAACCTGCTTACATGACTGATTTAACTTGGTAAGACAAAGTAGCTAGGTAGGTAACTAGAAAAGTGCACATAGGAATTAACACTGAATGGTGACTGTCAGATCATGTAAATACAGCAGCAGAGCTAACAGAAACCAATGTCTTTCTTGGCATTTACATTGGCTTCTGAATTCATCTTAATCAGACAATGCACTGTATAAGGTAAATAAAAGATCATTACACTTCTATGTGTAAGAATATGGACACTGCATTAAAAAACAAAAATCTTAATTGAAAAGATCCCAGTATAACAGATGTCAGTTTTAATAGATCTTATCACAGGGTTGAGATTATGCAAAGACCATTAGTTCTTCATAAAACTGTCATAAAATATAGCAAATTATTCCATTTTCTTTTCATTATAACCAATTATTTTAAAAGTATGCCTAAAATAAACTTTATTGATAAGAACATGAAACTCCAGGATATATTTTAGCTAAAAAGGAGTCACCACTAATAAGAGTTTGTAAAATTCACTAAAATATATAATTTAGGAAATTTGATCTTGTTATTTGAAAGCTAATTTAACATTTTCACTTAGTTAATATCCTTCTCTATGAATTTTTTATTCAGAAGCAAATATTTTAATGATCAACTTATTTTATTTTTGTATAATCTGTATTTGTTTCTAACAAACAAAAACAGTATGTTAAATTTTTGCCACACTTCTTATACTGAAATGTAAGATTTTAATTTTACTTTAAATAATTAATCCTATTTTTTCTAATGTTACAAAGTCTCTCTCAAGAAAGTTAATTTTAATCATGATTTATGTTTAATCTTTAACAGACTTTTCTTCCACTTTTTTCTTCAATTTTGTTTTTACATTGAAAAAATTTAAAAATGCAATAATTTATAACAAAGTTAATATTTTTCTCTATGCTATTGTTATTCATAACAAATATATTGATAACGAAATTTAATTTGAGTAATGTTTTTCTTTCTAAAATTTATTTTAAAAAAATGTTGAATTTTAGCTTATTTTATGTTTTTTAATGGTAAAATAGGAAAAAACGTGATTTTATACTACCAAATTAATTAAAAAAATCATTTTTAAGAATGTGGTTATGTAATAATTAAATTCAATAAATTAAATCCAACATTGTAGAGGTGTTCAAAACATTAATCCTTAAACACTACTGCTAAATCACACATTTTTAAGAGTCAATTCTTTTCTACACGACTTGGGAGTGTGTGTCAGTTTATTAGTATTCAGTCTATATCACTGTTCCCCCGAGGCTTACTTTTCCTACTACTTTATTGTAAGTGGAAGAGTCCACAATAGCCTCAATAGAGAGAAGACACCACAACAATAAAATAAATAAAATAAAGTTACTTTCATGTTTATTTTGTTTCATGTTACATTTTTGTTCTGTTCTTTTATTCTACATTAGTTAAGTTCTATGCATGATACATGCTTGGGCAATCATGTCTTTTGATTTATGATTGACAACTAGGTAGCAGATTTCCCAGAGTAGTCTGCCGTTTCTTTCTGTGGTAAACTTGTTGCTGAACAAATCTATAGGATCTCGCCTGTCCTATTCATAGCTGAGGGAGAGGAGATAATTCATACCTTTCCTAAGGTTATATGAACATAAATGAATGTAATGAACCAGAATGGAATCCACACTTGGTTCTCTGATTTTTCATTCTGAGCCATTATCAATTACACCAAACTGCACCCCACATTAAGTTTTAAATGTGGATAATTAATTCAAGGATTAAAATGCATCTAATATTTCATATATCCTTATTAATGGGGTGGAAAGTGATGAGACTGAAGCTCAGCCAAATTATATATTAATTGTAATAAGACTTTACTAAAGAAAAAACATCAAGATAAACAGGATTAACTTTACAAACCAAATTAATTATGCTCTTAATGTTTACATTTTTTTTAAATTTCTTAAGCCGACTACAGCAGCAACAAACAACTGCCAAAATCTATGCTCCCATTGGAATGATGAGATTTAAGAGAGGCCTCCAGTTCTGGCTGTGACTCGCACTATGACTTAGTTTTTAATAAAACACACCATGATCAAAATTCACTAAAAAGAAGTCATGCTCTTTCTGAAACGAAAGATTGAAAATTTAGATAGGGAATAAAAACTTACATTATTGTTTTCTTTACGCCAATTGTTGGCAGCAGCAGGATCTTTGGGGTTCATAGACACAGCCTTAGCTTGTTGCACCATTGGAGTGATTGCTATCAAAGAAAAAAAATGAAGTAGTACAAAGGTAATAAAATTTATTAACAATATTGAGCCATAATAATTACATGTGCCTATTTATTTCATATCAAAAGATTTAACTTAATGATTATGTGTTTAAGAAAATTTAGTTAAAATCCAAAGAGGAAGTACAGCAAATTCAAAAGAGAAAAAACTTCATTACTTAAAATTTTAATTTATAATAAATTCAGGTTCCAAATACAGAATATAACATTTAAATCCTTTATTATGGATAATGAAAATAAATGTATAGCAGTTTTGAAAAATTTGAATAATAAATCTTTTCCCTACAACTACTTGAATAAAAGAATTTATGGAAAGACTGAATTTTCATTATACTGGATACTGGGGTCATCCAAAGGACTAATGGATAGCAAGCTGGTCAAGCAGACTTATCACCGAGTAGTGAATTCAGTTATAAATGCCCATCACTTGTGAAGCCTCGTAAATAATTCATATTTTTTCTAGATGTGAACCTAAGGAGATATGCTCACTTCCCAGTTTTAAACAATTGGGATATCATGATAACAGTCATAGAAAAGTTGTTTACATAAGCAGATTATAACTAAGTCTTTGCCTGATTTTTTACCTGTTAATGTCTGAGAAGTTTGATTAAATTTTTCATTAATATATTATTTTTCTAGGTATATATGCTGGTTCTAATTGGCATGCTAATAACTGCAAAAACGTCTCCCCTCCCCAAATTTATAAACAAATCATACAGATGCATGTTGGGATTTGTTCCTAGCCAATAAGACTGACCACATCTGCCTCATATGAACAATTTAAAAAAAATTTTTCCAGTGTCAAGAATTTTATTTAAATTTGATTAAGCAGAAAATTTTATCTAAACAGTTACATTTTTTTAAACCTATTTAACAGCAACAAGCTGAGAATTCTAGGTCAAAACAAAATTGCAAATTCTGTTCTTTATAATTTAAATGTTCATTCCATTTATCAAGTAAAAATACCAAACAAAAGCAATCTTTCAAATTAAATTCTCTTCATGCCATCAATAATAAAAACAGAAATTAACTTTAGTCGATCTAACATCTGAATAAGTGCACTGTTGTCAAAAGCTCAAATTTTTGTAACCTGAAGAAAGAAAAAAAACAAAACAAAAAAAAAAAAAACTTTCATTAATTTCCAAAATTGTCAATATTTTTCTAACATGTTTATCAAATGTCTCATGACAGCAGTCTAAATATTATAACATCATTAAGGAGTATCATTAATCTCATATTACCTCTTTGAAAATTATAAAGACATGAAAAATTAAAAAAAAATTGTTCAGTGAATCAATCCTCACTATATATATAATTTTTGATGAGTGTCTCAAGTAGAGTTGCCAGATTTACCAAATAAAAATAAGATATTCTGTTCAAATTTTGATTGAAATAATATCAAATTTGTATATACATAAACTAAGATTAAATAATATAAATGCATGAGAGAAAATTATAAACACCAAAAATAATATCAGAGATCATTTGAAATTAAATCTGAACAGGTTGCATTTTATTTCTGTTTGGCAGATCAGGCAACCATAATTTCAAGACAATGAGACATTTACCTCAGGCACCTTAAGGTAACCAATGAATCTATGGAAAAAAAATTTTTTTTAGCAATAAAAAAAATCAATTTATTAAGTCAACCTACATAAATATCTGTTATACTGTGGAAAGATACACAAACAAAATCTGCACAACTGGTACTTAAAGAAAAAAAAAAAAAGAACAAGTAAAAATTTCTAATTACAAGATTTAAGGATGTCTGAGGATTGGTTGACTTTCTCAACAAATGCTGGATCTTCACTGTTCTCTGCTTCCTGTTGGGCAACTTGCAGAACACGATTGGCACGACGGGCAATATTAGATGCATTAGCAACAACCATCTGTGGACTGACAGCTCTGATGCCATCTTCAACTTTTTCAGTGTCTTTCTTGATTCCAACCTCTGAAAGATGACAGCAAAAGAAAAGCAAACTATAACCAAAACAGTTAACAATATTAAAATATTCTGGATTTAATCATGATTTACTATAAAAACATTCCTTTGAAACTTGGGTATATTTTATACCCAAGTTTCAAAGGAATGTTTTTATAGAGGGGTTTCAAACAGATCTCATGGGATACACGCAACCTGCAGACTATCATTCTGTGTCATGTGGAACCCTTTTCATAACCAATATTTTCCTCAAATTTTAATAAGTTTAATAAATTCATCTCTCACTCTTTTTGTACTTTTGCAGTAGAAGTATTAAACTTGACTTATCCTCTAAGTACAAACAGATAGTCAATCAATTTTAAGGTCAGCAGAGTCTGTTCTAATTCCTTTCCAGGGAAGGAAAGAAAAAAACCTTCCCACCACCACCACCACCACATATTTTTCATCAGCTACCTGACGAGAGGATACAAATGTACTTTGCAACAGTTTCAGTCTCTTTAATTCTATAAGAAGAAATTTGACAAGTCATATTAGCAAAAGCTGACTCGGCCCATTGAAAATGTTTCCTTCCATGTTTGATTTCAGTATATTTGTTACAGTATATGTTCTTTAAAGTAAGAAATTATTTATGAAATTTATCTTTATGAATAAAATATCCCATTTATGTACTTATGAAACTATTGAAGTTGAATATAAAAATAGTATTTTCCAATTTAGTGATTTTAAAAAGGAACTGAATATATTTTCCTACAGGAAGAAAATAAAAATATGAAAGCTGAACTTGACATTCAATTTTCAAACAAAAGTCAGATTTTAATACATTAAGTAAAAAAAAAAAAAAAAAAAAAAAAAAAAAAAAAAAAACCTGTGATACAAAATACATATCAACAAAACCTTTGATCTGCACACTACCTTCAAAATCAATTTTATCTTGTATTAAAAGATGAACTAAAAAAAAAAAAAAAAAAAAAAAAAAAAAAAATAGATATATTGATCATTGAATGTACAGTAAAGGATGTTAAAGAAACTGACCAGTAGCACGAATGAAGGCTTCCGTATCAGTTGCTTCATCCACAAGTGTTCGCAGCCTCTCCATGTTTTCAGTCCATTGTTTTTTGAGTAGATCAAAATGGTCAACAGCAGCTTGGTTCTCAGGATTGATTAGAACAATTTTGGCAGCATTCACAACTTGAGGAGATAAGTCATTTGCCTAGAATAGTGTCATGAATTAAAAAAAAAAAAAAAAGTTGTAAAAATGATCCATGACAGATAGCAACATTTCAAAAGTAGGATCAAAGTTAATTCACAATACAACAAAAAGTTAACCTAAGCCAAATAATTTTTTTCATAGTGGTATACAAAATATTGTTTACAGAAAATTATTTGAGTCGGTGCCAAAGATTTTAAAATCATCTTAAAATATCCAAATAATAAGTAGTGTTTAAAACAACATTAGAAGTATTAAAATATTCTTATTCACAAGGAAAAGAAACATCCGTTATGATTAATTTTAAGTTTGTTTGTTTTTTTTTTTTTGTTTTTTTTTTAAAATTCAATCAATTTTATATATTTTAACTATTAACTATTTGTATTACTTTTGATAAATAAAATTTGCTATAATCAAAATTCTAAGATGGCAAAGACTAATTCTTTCTAAATTTCATGGAAGTTATCGTTCGTGGTGCTAGTGGTTATCTCCCTTAGACTATGAAAAACATGTCGATAAAAATAATTTCCTTGAATAATGTTTACCATTTATTTTTGCAATGACTTCCACTTCTCTTATTTCAGCTTTAGAAGTATTTTTTGTACTTCCAACTTATTAAAGTAATTATGAGTTCATTATTTTACTTTTGCATAAAACTTGGCTTTCAAGATCAGCTCTTAGCAGTAAAGATAGCTTTAATTTCCTCTTGCAAATTAAAATTAAAAAAAATAAACAGTAAATTCTAATTTACCTGAGCAGAAGTGGCAAAGATTGCTTCAACAGTTTTCTTGTTACAACAGCCACCAGCAGTAGCCACCATATTGGCAGTATCAGAAAGTTTGGAAGATTGAGTCAAAAAGTTACGAGCTTTCTCATCAAAGTTTTGTTCTCTTCCTGGAACACCTGGATAATGAAAGAACAAGTATTATAAAATAATATAAAATTGACATAAAAGATTCAAGTTTTAAATTTTTCTATTAAAACAGAGATTAATATCGACACAGCTATTTTTCTCACTAGAAGTAAATGAATATCAATAGTTAGTGATTTATATAACAGTGAATTTCAACGAGAGTTTTTTTTTTTTTTTTTTTTTAATCTACCTTAACTTGAAAGCTGAAGTTTTTAATGATTGCTTAAAATTCATATTAAAATCTTGTGCATGAAAAGACATTAAAATATTTTCTAGTCCTATCATAAGATTTCAATTGGATAATTTAATGCTGGTATTGTACAATACAGAAATATCTCCACAGTCATTAAACATACAAGATGCTGACTAAAAGTTTATAAACTATGGGAACAAAATGCCTTCCTTAAATAAAGAAAAGAAATTCATAGAAAACAAGGTAATTTCTTGGCAGTGCAATTTTGAGAAATGTCAGAAATAGTTAACAAAAAAAAGAGGAAATACGGACTAATTTAGCAAAGAAACAGAACTTCAATTTCTCTGCCCTTCATAGATAATAACCATAATCAGTCAGTTATGCTTGCTTTAATTTTTGACCAATCATCCTTTTTTCATCATTTGCTATTATACAAGATACAAAGTGAATGACAAAACTTGGCAAAACTAGTTTTTAAATCAAAATTCAGTGAAAATTTTCCCCTCCATTGCACTATCACAAAAAATATTTACTGATAAAGAAATAACTAAGGCTAAGTAATGAAGCAACAAAAAGTTGATAGGCAGAAATGAAAAAAATGATATATTAGTGTATATTCAAATACAGTGAGTAAGAAGAATACAACCTTCAGTAGCTTTTCATTTTAAACCTCTGCCAGAAATTTGCTATATATATATATATATATATATATATATATATATATATATATATATATATATATATATATATATATATAGGCAGGTATGAAAGTTTTCATTGAATTTTACCCATGATATCAAAGGTTATAATAAATTGCCAGTGGTGATTTTTTTTTTATGTATTTACACCACTGTTAATCATACAAAACAGATTTTTATAATTTAATTGGAAAATGTGTGAATTCAAATACAGAATTGTTTCCTTGAAAAGAAATAATGTAAATATTAGTTAAAACTTGAATAAACTATATTTATACCAAATATAGTCAAGAAGAGAGAGAATAAAGTATTAGGCAATGTAAAATGGAAATGTTTAAGGCCAATATGTGTTTGGTCATTTATTTCTTGTCAAAATTTTTTAAAATTGTTTCATTATTTAAAAGCAAAGAAATAAATTTTTATTCCATCATTGTATTTATAAATGAAGAATATTGAGAAGCACATTAGCAAAGAAACTATCTGATAATTCTAATCTATAAAACTGGTTAGAACAGATAAACTTCCTGATTATGAGAATTTGTGTCTGATTATGTTGTAAGCTAGAAAAGTTTACCGAATGATGAATAACCAAACAAAGGTGGGAAATGAAATGGTAATCTTTATAACATCAACAAAATATAATACTCGTCAGTGATGTGAAGTAGGTAAACCACTGCTAGTAGTGAACTACTTAGACAGTATATTACCCCCACTTCCAGTAATATCCAATGTATTTATGAGGATTGGGACATACCCATTAGTTTTTCATAGGTATGGTATATAACGGATAAGTTCTTTGCTATTGACTATGGTGTAAGGATTAACAACATTTTATAAACTAAAATGCCAGCTGATTGTAGAGAATTCATCAAAAATTGAACAATGTAGCCTTGTACCAGACTACGCTTATTAAATAACAATGATATACTATTTGATCTAATTCAACTCCTCTCCAAATACTGCATAGAAGTTTAAATGTGACCACACCTAATTTTTTTTAAAATTAAATGAATTAATGATAAAATGTAAAGCATCAACATATTAGTCGTATGAATAATATTATTATAATAAAAAAATAAAAAACTTTTTATTTAGTGAAGAAACAAAACAAAATCTTTTAACAATTCTTATGTGCTTTTAATAACAAATGAAAAAAATTAGCAGGATTTTAGTAAAATAATTAAAAAAATGTTTTAAAAAGATATTGGATGAAAAACTTGAAATCAGTTCACAAATTGAAAGCTAATTCTTGATCTACATTAATGTAAATGTAAAAAAAAAAAAAAAATCAATGGATTTATCACATTTTCAAATCCAATCAATTATCAGTCTGAAGCAAAGATCTTCACAAACCTTTCAGGCCCCAAAACCCCACCCAGTTATTTCCCAATTCTGAAATTATATATTTTCATCTTTAATATTATTTCTAGTCATTTCCTACATACTACTATTGCTTTTTATTAGAACTTTCTCAAATACTCTTTGGTAAAGTGAGAACAACTGTCAAGATTTTAACTCACATCCCATATCCTGAGAACTGATTTTTCAGAGAAAATGCCATGACCAATTCAACCACAGATTTGTTCACGATCATATTGTCACATCTTGACATCAAAGCTTCCCATGTTTGTTTTATATTACTAAAAAATAGTCTTAAATAATTTTGAATCTCACCTCCAACCTTACTCTTTATTATAATAGAGGAAAGGGTAAATGTTAAAACTTTTTGAACTTACCTAATGGGGCCATAGCTGCATCACTCAATTGTTTCAATGGTGTTGTCATATCAATGAAATCTTCAGCAACCTTAAAAATAAAATTTCCCAAGTCATGTAAGATTTTATTAAGAATTCATTATATGTCACAACGACAAGTCTTTATCCATCTGTAAAAAAAAAGACATGAAGGATTTTAAATTCTCTTGAATGTTTCCAATCTGTTACTCTCATGCATATTTTGTCTTAAAAACAAAAAAATTAAAAACAAAAAAAACAAACTATCAATCAAGTGAATATTCCTTGTTCACAACCCTCACGGTTTCCCTTATAAGTAATCAAATTTAATATTGATGGGAATATTAAGAATGAACAAATAATTTAAAAATCAACAAGATTGTCTTTGAATCGGATTTAAGGAGATTCCAGAATCTTTTACACATAAATTGCAAGCCTCATTATTCAGTCACCAAAGGATTTTTCAGAAAGTTCTTTGATCTGTCATTAAATTAAATTATATCTGAAAGAATTCGGATTTTGATTCAAAGAATTTTTCAATATGATCAATTTGTTGGCACTATTGACCAAACAAAAAAATGTTGATGTATGGAGCAAAACATGTGATAATCTTAAAGTGACAAGTTTAAGAGAATTTGTCACATGTGGAAGAACTTGCTATGCTAGCCCCTTGTCATTTACAAGATCAGGTGCTGTCATCTGGAAAAATTATCAGGCAAGGTCCTTGTCCAGAAAAAGATTTTTTTTTTTTTTTGTTTTAGTGATGCATTCAAATGAGTCAATTGTGCTCATTGTAGAGCAGCAGAGAAACACTTTGTCCAGATCTGGTCAATTCAGAATTTAAAAGAATTTCATTTACACTATTTACATTGTTGCCACATTCATGATGTTTCAACTGTTGTACACTCTGGCCTTCAGGTGACTGGAATTTCAAACCAAATCCTTTGTTTTGTCCACCAGGGTAGGTTTTTTCTAGTTTCACATTCCATGCCTTTTCTAGATATCTCAGTATCAGTTATCTCCCTTTTAATTCAACTCTCCAAGTTTTTTCGCACCGCTGCTGTAGCCAGGTATTCAACTCGCAACTCTTTGGGTCAGGTCACTGGATTCAACCAATGCTTTTATCCATTGATCCAATGTGTCCTTGTAGATAAAAGCATTGTGAATATGGCAACAAAGATTAGAACAACAGTTTGAACAATGTAAATAGTGTAAATAATTACAATACTTCATCTCAGAAATATTGACAGATATTAAAAGAATTTTATTCAAATCTCATAAAATACAAAAGAATATTTTCCACACGAGATTCCATTTAAATTTTAATGCTGAATCTCAACACAATTTTCTTAATTTGGGATTTTCATATGAAATCCATTTTTCCATCATAAAATTAATATCATCCCAAAATTCCTTTTCTTTGTTTTTTCATGTTAAGCAAAAAAATGGTGACTGATGATCCTTTTCATCAGTTCATGTTGGACACTCTTCATAATTTCTTTCTAAACTTTTCCTAAGGCTTGTAAAGAGTTAACCAATTTCACAATCAATAAAGAACTTAATAGACTTCAAACACATTTGTAGGAGCTCCTAAAATTGATGGTGCTGGAAACTTTTACATCAACTTCATATTTGCATTAAAATTTTACTTTTATCTCATGATATATAAAATAAGAGGTTAGTTTATCTTACCTGATTAACAAGTCCTTCACCAATCTTATTCTTGAGGGCATGTAATTTTTCAGAAAGATGACGGGCACAAGCTTGTGCTTGAGGAGAATTACCCTAGGAGAAAAATTAAATGGTAGAAATTTTAATTTGATTTTAGATAAACCTTTTTAAGAATCAACACAAGTTATATTTTCATTTAATTTAGTTTAGTAACAACTTCAATTAAAATTGCTTTTCCAAATTTTTACTTTGATATTTAAACTTTTGTCAAAAGGAAACAAATTGATACTTTGAGTATTACAAGCCACAAATATTTCTTATTTTGTCTTTGCAAATTGAGCAAACAAATAGGTCTATTTTGTTACTGTACAGACATCTATAAAAATGTATGGGTCATGGCATTCTATTTATCTTAAGATTAACAAAGAGTGAATCAGACTGTCCATTTTTCTTTTACATTAGTTTCTTTGAAAAGTGAATCAAGAAAACAGGAATTATTATCTTGAAATATCAGATGAAGCATTGTCAATGATTCATTCTTCAATTCTTGTTTAGTTCATCTTATTTTCAGTTGCTTTTTATTACAACTTTTATAAAAGAGTTTATCAAGTTGCACACTAATATATTTTAAAAAAACTTGCACCTAACAAAGTGACTAGTGTTTACTAGATTCAGCTCAGGTCAGTAGCAATAATAGAAATGACTATTTTCTTTAAAAAGAATAGTAAATGTCCAATACTTTTGCATGACACAGTCTATATAAGTTTAATGAGTTGTTGCACCAACTGATTCAAATCTTATAGATGGTCATTATATTAATGCATATAAATATTACACTGTCGTATGAATTGAAACGTAAATGCTTAAATTCCATAAGTACTGTTTATTCAAATTAAAAAAAAAAAAAAAAAAACATTGAACAACATTTTAAAATGTAATACATTTAACACAAAACAAGAGCAACAAATATAATTCTACTACTATCATTTTTAAATTAAAAAGAACAATCATTTTAAGAAAACACTATCTGCTGAAATTGTTACACTGATACATCTCTTATTTTTTATAAATTCATTTTCTATTTGCTCAGTACATTTTTCCCGGTTTAATAATTTTTTGTGTAAATAATAAAATAAAAAAAGTTTTAAAGACAGGTATCCAAAATGAGATGTTGACAGGAAGGGAGGAAAATATTGGAAAAAAAATAAAATCATTCTTCAATTTGAATTAAAATCATTCTTCAATTTGAATTAAAATCATAGATTAAAATAATAAATAATAATAGTTCTGCCTATCAACCAGTTCACACCCCTTCCCAGTATTTTGAACAAGAGTAGGGCTTTATCGCTTGTTTCCTGTTTAGGGTTGGGTTTCCGGTTCCTTCTTCTAAAGTCATTCTTTTTCCCTCCCAGTAGCCCTTGCATCTTGGTGGCACTGTCACCTTGCTTGGGGTTAAATGATTAATAAAAAAGAAAAGTTACCTGTCCCCTTCGGATCAAATCAGAAAGCTGATTGGTCAAGATTTCTGTCTCATCACAAAGCCTGAGTAGTTCAGCTCTCTGTGGTCCTGTCAGAGACTCTGCTACTTTACGACCTTCAGCTACAACCATACGAGTTGCTTGTTCACCTGTATAAAGGAAAAAAGAAAATCAGTTTATAATATTACTCAAATCAGATCAAATTAAGAAAAAAACAATTCCAAAATTGTGAGCAAACTAAATTCTTAAAATAAATTTTCAGTCATCAAGTTATAAGGAAATTTGTAAATGAAGTGATTTTCATATCAGACTCATAACTGAAACTGTTACTGGCATAAGCAACCAGTGTTCAAGCCGAGATAAAAAAAAAAAAAGCCCATAATTTCAAAATCTAGTTTTCTTGGTAAGATATCTATTACCATTTGGAAGATTGGGAGAACACAATTTCTTCTCTATATTTTAAACTTGTGCTGCACACAGCTAAGCTTGGTAAATATCAAGCACTGCCTAAAATAAAATTTACAGACTCAACAAAGTCAATTCTTTATTTCCACCTAAACATTGAAGCTATTTGACATACAAACATTTCTACATTACAAAGTGATAAATCCAGATTTGTTGATATGAATTCAACTACTTTATTTGAAATATTATCCCCTTGATGACCCCCTTGAGCTTGGGAGAAAAAAAAGGAAAAAAAAAAATCACATGGAACCAGGTCAGTGAGTAGGGAGTTTGCTCTAGTGAAGCAATGTTCATCAAGGGGACCCATTTTCTGGGCGTGGGACCCATCAGGAGAGTCATGACAATGGAGCTGTGGAGAATCCCGGAAAATCATTCCAGGAATGCATGAGGGTGTAGTGGGAAAGAGTTAAACTCAAGGGAGATAATTTCGAAGGGGAAAGCTTGTGTGGATTTTATATAAATTTTTTGTGACTTCAGTCCAGTTTCTTTAAGACCAGCTTCTGGAACATGGGAGACGAGTTTGGCATGGTGGAGGCAACTTTTTTTATATTTCAATTTACTTTAATGGTGAAAAGATATAATTAACTGACAAAGTTAAAAAAAAAAAACAAAAAAAAAACAGTAAGATGAAACAAGCTGAAAATAAAAACTAATTAAAGATTATCAAGTAAAAATAGTTTTGTTCAATATTTACACATTTTTTTAAAGAAAATGAATAAGATCTTTTGTAATACAATCCTGTTAGCAAATTCATTTGCTATAATTAATAAATACCACAGCCTCATTTTCAATTCAACAGTGACTGATTTTTTCATTTTCAACATTTTTTCTATTCCTTAAAAATAACTATAAATGTTCCAAGATTCACATTCCCTATAAATTGTATCTTAAAATAAGAAATTGAATTAAGTTCATTGAAACTCCAGTTTATATTTTAAATTATTTTTATGAAAATAATAAAAATAAAAAAAATTATTCTATGCAGAAATTTACCTAAGCCTTTGTCATCAAGCCCTGGGTTGACCAGCCATCTTTGGGCTTGTTCCACTTTTCCTGAAACAGTTGGTGCTGGTTTACGGACTCCACTTCTTTCCGTGTTTACAATTCCATTTTGAGTAAGCTGAGTCAAATCACGGAGTTTATTTTGGATTTCTCTGGCCAAAGACATTGCCTGAGGACTGCTACCCTAAAACACACATGGAAAAAAAAATCTTTATACAATATGGAATGTTTTGTCATATTGAACTCTAAAATAGACATTTTACAAATAAATTTATCCATATTAACAACCTCCTTCAAGATTGGAACAGGAAAATCCAAATTTTTTTAAAAATTTGAAGTCATTCATTCTAGGTAAAGAAATCAAATCTTGTCTTTGTAAACTAAGAACTTGATGCTACCATTCCAATACAGCACAGAGATAATTTTTTTTCCCCTGACAAATACAGATTTGACAAGTGAGCAGGAAATTCCCCTGACTAACCTTACTAAGAAACTTGACACAATTATAATGAATTAAATTGAAAATAGACTTGGCCAAAGACAGTGTAACATAACTGACAGTATTTGATGCCTTGTGGATTAGCTAAAGAGGAATTTTAAAGTAAAGAAATCTTCAATTGCTTAAAACTAGGTAGGATTTTGTGAAGGTCTCTTGAGGGAAAAATCAATTAAAAATATTCCTAGTATGTTAATATTTTATTGAGATAACCTTTATTTTAAGCAGGTCAGATTTAAATACATAAATTTGAATTTCTTTTAATATATCACCAACTACCAGTTATGTTAAATATCTACATAAATTTCATTATTAAATACAGATTGGGGTAACCAAATTTAAGTGAATAAACTATTTACAAGTCTCAAAACATTTATTACTTATGGCCTTGTTTCTCAAGAAAAACCTTTGGTCTTTCCAATATTTTTTTTTTTTTTTTTTTAAACAACACTGAACTGTATATTGAATTTTGAAAAAGTAAAATGCAGTGCATTTTATATTGGGATAATAGATAATAAAGGAAAGTTTACAGTAATTGAGAATACACCATCTTGGAGGAAATCAAGGCAGTGAATTTGAAACCATTTCACAGATACAAGAGATTTAACTTGAGTGCAACCATCAAAAAACAACTAAATATAAATGTGCATAAATTAAAGTCCAAAACAGTTTTGAATATGGTGTTATGCTAAATAATTCTGATTATTTCTTTTTACTACAATAAGGAAAATCATAAAAAGAAATTAATTGCTGCCCAGTCTTCACTTACCAGTCTTGATAGAATTCAAAAGTGCCTATGTGGCCTTGTGGGTGATGAATTACTTTCTACCCTGGGACCCCTTTCCCACAAACAAACATCACATTTCTTACTATTCTATCACTATTTCCTTGGAAAATAGTCTGACTGAGCTATATTGCTTGGTCTCACCAGCCCTAGCTTTTGCAGCTGGGACCTGCCATGACACATACACAAGGAGGAATCATCCTCATTCCTTTTGTATTCTGTTAGTATGTTCCACTTGGACAGCTTTTCCCCCAAAAAACTGTTGCTTTGTGGAACAGACTCCCAGTGGGGTGTTTTCATGATCACTATAATCTAGTATTAGCCATTATCTTTTCTACCTAAGCTTTTCATCTTTTTTTATGCTCATAGACCACCACAAAGTAAACCTCTACCTTGAGTGGCTCTTGGACTTTGTATTGGGCAAACATTTTATATTTCTAGCATGTCCTTTCCTTCCTTAGTTAGTTAGTAGGTATGTTACACCCTACAATACCTCATAAATATAATGGACCATTCTGTTTTGATTGCATATAAAGACAGAAACGATATATCAGACACGTTTCATTTCAGTGAGAAAAAAGAAAACAAAATTCAAACAGGAAAGCGGTGAAATTTTCATGAGTACTACAAGTTAGTATAAAAAAATAAATAAAAATGGAAATATTGTTGAAGGTTTGGACTAAACGTAAACAACCAATTCTCTAATTTGTAACCCTACAAGCCACTAATTAAACATGAAGCTCTGCTTGCTAAGAAATAAGCCTCTTTTCCAATAAGATAAAATACACAGACTTAATTCTATGACATGTCATCATATTTTGGAATTAAAAAAATGCTTGAATGAAAATATCAGTTTTAATTAAATGTGTGCACTTAAAATACACAGCAGGAAGGCTTCAATTTTTAATTTACATTTTGCCTACCAATTTCAGTCTATTTTTTTTTGCTAATACATGAAGCTATCATTTTTTAAAAAAATACTTTTTATACTTTTCAAACTTAAAAATATATTTCTTTTTCTTAATTGTCCTACAAAGAAGAAAAATTAATTATAACATTGTTTTCATTTCAAATTCTTACATTATATGGATAACTAACTTTAGGAAATTTTCCAAGTATGATAATGCTATGAACTTGATTTTCCTTAAAACTTAGAATTTATTCATATTAAGGAGTTGCTAAACAAGTGTGAAATGCTTAATGTTTGTTTTGAGTTTAGCCATACTGAAGGAGCATTGAGGGGGTACACTGGTTTGATCTTGTATCCAATGAGGGAGGTCCACTGGAGGATCAGCCAGCTGAACATCCTTCACACCATTGCTCAGTGCCAGGTTTGCTGGCTTGGTCATGTCCTGCAATGACCACTCTACTAGAGTCATCTACCAGTTCAACCCACCATCTGCAAACTGGTGATGACCTTATAACATATCATGCAGCCACTGGAAGGACATCTTCCAGGACCTCCTGCAGATTAATCTGGCACTGGGGGGGGATGTTCAAGACTGTAAGAGCTGGAGGGACTCAACAACTTCATAGCATGATATTTAGCAGCAGCATACTGAATTTTACATCTGAATAACATGTTATTGTTAACGCTGAGTAAATATTAATGCTCATAAGGAAAATGAATTATAGAAGAAAGTTTTAATTATAGTTCAACTTTGGTTAAAGTAATATCAAAAATGTATCCAGCTGATATTACTGAAAATACTTTAACAGCTTGTTTAACTAGTTTACCTATTAGTAATTAAAGTATATATTTCAAGCAAGGCAAAACTAAAATCTTAAAACAGCTGGTCACTGTCAACTTCAGATTTCTAAAATTAAAAAAGAAACTCAATTTTGTAATTAAATTTGAAACATTGTTTTTTTTTCAATTCAAATTTTGGCGAATCATATCAGATGGCAGTTACTAAATACCACTTAACTATACATAGAAACGTAAACTAAGAACTAGTTCTTCTTAGTCTTCATGTCTCAGCTTTTAATTTGTGCTTCTTAGCATCTAACACTACATACAAAGAAAAAAAAGATTGAGAAAAACTAAACTGTGACGTGGAGCAAACTGTTTGCTTTTAGCTCTTCACACAAATTATGCAGTTTTCTCCACCACATAAACTTTTTAAACATCTTGTTACAGGTCATCCTTTTGTTCTCCACTCAGTGCTGCTTTCCAATAATGATATTTAATCTCTGGGGAATATGCACTGTTCTATTCTTGACTGCCATTCAAGAAAAATAACAATATTAGTTCCGAGGGAGGTTACCATCACTTGACCATACAAAGGAATATGAACCTTATCACATTTACAGTTCACTTTTTCAACTTCTTTTTTGCTTATAAAAAGCTAGATATAACTGGCTTGAAACACTGACCAAACTGCGGAAAGGCTGACACTGATCAAGTATCAAATACTACTATATTAAAAAGAAGCCCAAAACCATGACAAAACTGATCAATACAATGAGTTTAGTGTTTTAATCGAGTTGTTATAGTTGATGGACATTAGACTGACACAAAAGAATCTTCCCAACTCAGATATGTACTAAGAATTTTTCTAACTACACTAAAGCAGCAAAGACAAAATGGCCTTTCCCCAGTAAAAAGGCAACACACTAGTGAACATGAATTAGAGTGCTGATATATAAAACAGAATGAGCAAAGTAAAGAATAGGGTGTGTCTAGACGGGGAGTAAACCAAAGTTCTTGAGAGCATTTGCAGTTCTACTACTTCCTATCAGATGCAACTGACATGAATTGCTGATTTTTAGCATTCACTTTTGGAAGTTAAGAACAAAAAAACATGAAAGTTGTAATGTTTTACTTAAAAAAAAAAAAAAAGTATCATTATTAGCTGCTCATTAATTTTTTTTTTCCTATTCATTATGGATTCTGGTTTAGAAGGTACTTGGTAAATTTTTAACATAATATATTCAATCCCAATAAAAAAAGAAAAAAAAAATCTACTGCAAAATATTTCATTTTATCTTTTCTTACAAAATCTTTGCCATTCTGTTGAAATTTAATTACAGCAGTCATTTCACTTCATTTTTCCTTTTAAAAAGAAATCCAAATTAATAAATTTGAATTATCTTTTTTTTTTGTTAACTTTCAAAATTTATAACCACTTATTTTTTCCTATTACAAATCAGTTTTAGGGAATTTACTTCTGTTGCAGATTTATTTCTGATAGTTATTTTTAACCATAAAATTCTTCAACTACTATTATATTTCAACAAGTGAAAAACAAAAATTAATTTTCTTTCAGTCAGTACACATGCTAGTACACTTGAATTCTTATTTTAAATAGAGATGATTTTAATATATAATCTATTTAATTTAGGATTGATGATCTCTACTAAAGGAAATAAGAAACTAACATCTCATAAAAGATTCTCATATTTATGATGACAGTCATAGTTCAGAATCTTTTAGAAGCAAAAAACAAAACAAATTTGGATATTCTATTAACCAGATTGTTCACAGAATCAAGAAATAGGATCAGTAGCCGGTAAAACTGGACCTGGAACAAAAAGTTCCTCCGTTCAAGAGAAAAATGACGAAAATGGCCTGTTGACAGGAAGCAGACAATCACTTTGTTGAAGTGTCTTATCTAAATCCTGTTGGAAATACTAATACCAATAGTATGTTGCAAGACATTTTCCTTGATGGGAAATAAAATTCTTGAGCAAAGAAGTGACAAATTGATCAGTTTAGAATTGAATAAAATTACTACATGAATTAAGTTTTAACAAAAAAAAGTTCTACAGTGATTTTTTGCAAAGGAGCAGAAAAAAATTTTTTGCAACTTTTTGTAAAATTTATTTATTTATTTATTTATTTTTTTAAATCAGGGGTGTAGAGAAAAATGGTTTGAGGGACAATTACATATTACTCTTCAACAGAAGAGTAATATGTAATGAGATTATCCTACTAAGATGAGGAAAGTATAATACTTGCATTAAACCAATGCATCCCACAGTGTTAACAGAATAGAATATTTACAAAGAATTTACAATGAAATCAAAGCAAACAAGTGAGAAAAATGAATTCTCATACTGATATCTCCGAGAAACACAATATCTTATAATTATTGTTAAAATAAAATTTAATTCTTTGCTCAGTTTAATTCAAGTTGTCAAAATTCTGTAACATAAAACCCTCATAATCTGTTTAGGCACTTACTATACAGAGTTTAAGAATTCAAGATTATTTCAGTGTATTATTGAAATTAGGGTTTATTTTGATATAATTTCATATTTCAATACATGTTATTTATGTTATTTGTAATTCAGGAAAAGATATTTGTTCATTATGAATAAAAGGAAGGATAGAATTTAACTAACAGCTTACAAATAACAGTTTACAAAACATTTGTACAATGTATGAAAACAAACCTGGAATAATACCTTGATAGAATTCCAGTCACGACTAACTTTGCAGACAACAAAATAAATGAAAAACTATATGGGCAATAGCCATTGCAATTCTTACAAATATAGCTGCTCTAGTATGCAATGTATTTGCTCTATTTAATAATGAGCAAACAATCTCAGGGTTTTAATATATATATAACAACCTTACAGAAGAACAATCATAAAATATCTAGTTTTGTAACACAAGATATCAGATAATTGATAATTAAGTGTTATAAACACTGAAAGACTATTTGAAAAATGAAACTGATTACCAGTAAGTTTAAACCCAGACATAGTATATAAATAGTAGTTGCCAGAAGCCTATCAATGTTTTATAGAAAGATAAATGAATATTTCCCAAAATGAATTAATGCACTTGAGAAGATTTACAAAAATCTTTACAATAAAGATATTAGTATCTTAAAAAGAAAAACAGAATTATTCTTTGATAAAATGTGTGCTATGTGAATAAAGAATTTTTGTTAGCAGAAGAGAAGTTATATATACACACACTTACTTTTCCTTGTTGCCTGAGTTCAGCAAGAGTATTAGCCATTGATTCAATGTCACCTACTGTCCTGAGGATGGAATCTCTCTCATTTGGGTTGCTGCAACGTTCTGCAATCTTTCGAGCATCTTCCAAAATCTGGTGCAGTGCCTTATCACCTAAAGAAACAGAAGAGTTTCATGAAAATGAGCAGTCATTTATTTTTAATGATTATAAATGTGAACAATCAGTATTAAAATTTCTAAAATTTTACCTGCACTCCCAACCAAAGCAGCAGGGTCCTGTAGCCAATCGGCAGCTTGCTGAAGCTTTCCTTCGATTGCACACTAGAAATAAATAAATAAAAATTATCAATTGCATTAGAAAAAAGAAAGAAAAAAGTCAAGTGTCAAAATAAACTCAGGAAAGTAACGGACAGAGGCACAAAAAGTAACACAGGATTATAGTTAACTACTAGGTTATCAAGAACTAAATTGTTTAAAATGTTTCACAACTAAATAAAAGTAAAATCCGGTTTTGTAAATCACCATCAACTCAAAATATAAACCATTAAATTCAACACAATTCTGTGACAATGCTTTTATTTGGTCACTCAGAATTTTTACAGTCAATGTCATCCTTGAAATTATTTCTGCACCATTTTAGTTCAAAAAGTTCTTGAAAATAAAATGAGGAGGAGTAAGGTTTGTAGAGTATAGCAGACAGTGGGGGGGAGGGGGAGAAAGAAAAAAAAAGAAGGTAGATCTTCATTTGCAGTTCAGCACTTTCACAGCTGCATTGTTATAGCACTGTTGCCTGTCTGTGTTGGCCAATTTTTACGGAAAAATAGGAAATAATCTATTGTCTATAAAGATGGTGATTTCTGCAATTTTCATTTTTTCATATCCTATATTACAGACAACACCCCCAACGCACAATAGGTCATATTGTACACTACTATATGTCGATGCTGATTTAGAAATAGCACTAAGTTCTAGTTAGTTTATAACACAAACACTAAGGACTGACATTGAAAACACACACATTATATATATATATATATATATATATACATACACACTAACAGCAGGCAATGTAAAGACGTTTAAGAAGAAGAGTTAAAATCTGGAACAAAAAAGTTATTTGTTATTAAGCTAGCAAATGATTTGTTTTACAGTCATATTTCAAGACTACCAAATTACTAATTAAAATAGTCATACATGTATATTTTCAGTGGTTAATGTTCAGGCCCAAATGAGAGTGGACATCAAAATTCAAGCACTTTCATGAGAAATTCTTTTTCTATGATCTGTATTAAGAACACTATTTATTTGTAATTGGCTTGCAAATTTTTTTTCCTATTTTCTCTTAAAAATACCTTGAAATGATTTCTACCTTATTCACTAATTTCAATTTTTATGAGGAATTTATTTTAGAATTACAGTGTGTGTATATATATATATATATATATATAGTTGGAATTTAAATATTGTCATTATCCAGATCCTGTAAAAACCTGAATAAATGTTAATTCTAATTAGGACAAAGACATCAGATCAAGGAAAACTTCTCAGCCAAGTAATAAGAATTTTTGCCTGGAAACCAAAGAAGAATGTGGTAGTCTAGCATTATCCTATGTGAATATCATGCCTTCTCTCTTAATTCTAAATCTAAATGGAAGCAATACTTACACAGAACAACTCTTTGGTTCTCTGGAAGGAAATGACCCTCTTACAATTCTATTATATACACAGAGCCAACTTCTTTGGTATATATAGGAGTGGTTTATTTCACTTGCTCCACAATCTCATGTTCTAAATTGATGTAAAGTATCCACTTCTCACCATAAATTGTTTTAAAGACAGAACAGATATAAATATGATTAAGCAGTTTTATATGGAAGCCACATATCTAAGTGACTAACATAACCAAACTGGGGCAAGTGATTTTCAAAGCTTGATTTACATATTTAGAATAGACCATCTCTTGAATTGCATAAAGTTGATTATTTTTAAATAATGACTTCATTTGATTGATATTGATGCCAACTCATTTAACCCATCATGAAATAGTATTCAGCAAGAAATCTATTGCATAAAACTTCAACAAATCTTGATATATTTGATCATTCACAATACAGTATCCATAAACTACACAAATCTTTGTTTTTGTATTGGAGTTGCAATTTTGCTTCTCATAAAAAATACCATAAATTTCTTCAAATCTCTTATTTTCTCTCTTCAGTGTAAAAATCAATGAACAACAGTTCAATTAAAAAAAAAAAAACTATATGCAGATATGACCACTGTTATAATACAATCAAAAGTATTCTATTTGAATGAAACAAAAGTTAAAACTGAAAACACCTAATGACAAACCTCTTAACCTAATATGTACATCATTAAATTATTTTAACATTAAAAATAAATTTTCCCAACACATGGACACAGTAAGAGAATAAAGTGTATAATAATTAATAACATTTATATGCAATTTGAGCAAGAATGAGAGTTGTCTTGCTTTTTCTTTTTACCTGTGCTTTCTTCATAACAGTCAGATCATCTGCATCCCATTCTTCTTCATCATAAGTTGTTAATTGCAAAACACGAATAATCTCATGGATCTCATCAGACATTTTTCTCACAACAAAATCACGGTTATTCTGAGCTTCAGCAAAACCCGTACCTGAAGGAAAAGAAATAACAGAGTCAGAAGAAATATAAGTCAGGTTCATTTTGCAGAAAAGCTAGCAAAAAAATTTTATAAACAGGTATTTCTTTTAGTAAACTCATACCATATTTGTTGGTTGGAAAGACATTTTTATTAAATTCATATAATGCTTTAGACAAATCAAATAAGGAATAAGAAAAAAAAACAAAACAAGGACCAGATATCTATCAAAGTGAAGGGCAAAGAATATCAATTTTGATCACCAGAGATAATTACCAACCAGCTTTTAAATGAATTCTTGACACCAAAATGATAACCGAGAATGAAATGGACACCTACATCAATATAAGTGGATATCATAAAAGATAATCATCTGTTTGTTTTATTGTACTTGACTGGTTATAATCTAAACAGACATTTATGATATTTAAATGATACATTTTGTCTTTAGGAATCTAATAAGATTATTCTTTTAGCACTCATATCCTAGCAAGCCGCTTCCAGGAAGTAAAATTTTTGTTGGGTGATGCATAAATTCAGTATTGTGTTAAATTGTAATTAAGAATTTAACGAATAATAGTTAGCTTTTTTTTTTCTTTTTAAAATTTTAATCTAATTTACTGTATACTGAATTAAAAAAAAAACAAAAAAAAAAACAATAATTCTGATCTTTTATTATAAATATATATATATATATATATATATATATATATATTATGTAAAAGATGAATAAAGAAAACAATCTGGTACTTTTAAATCTAAGTATCAGTTGGTTTCAAGAGAAATTTTTAAGTTTGTTTAAAATTTAAGAATAATATTTATGAAAGAACCATGATTTCTAATCATCTAAAATCAAACCCAATTAAATTCAATAAGTCTTCTTCAGACATAAAAATTCCACATGTTTACATTGTTGTTCTTTTCCTTCATTTTACTCAGATTTACTGCAGTCAAAATTCTATTTCATACTAAAATGGATGTCATTTTAAAATGATAGGGTTTAACGGACGCAAGAGACAACCAAAGTTATAGTCATGATGTAAAGAACACATACATGGCAATCTGAGCAATCTCAGAACTTCCTTGAAATGCTCTACATTTTAACACCTGGCTCTGAAAATGTTGAAAATTTTTGTTGCTTGTACAAGTAAGGTATTTATAATTTGAATTCAAAATCTTAACTTCCACTTGACCTGAACACTAACAACAAATACAAAAATCATCTTAAACAAGAAGCTTGCTGTTGATAATCTATGGAAAAAAAAAAAAAAAAGAAAAGAAAAAATAAATAAATTACACACCTAGCCTGAGTGGACAGTAATGCAATTTAATCTTTGAAACCACATTTAATTCCAGAGAGATCACTAATAAAACCATTGTTGAAAATATTTAATTTCTACCTTCATTTTTATCATTTCACTTTTTTAATTTGGTTTGGTTTGTTTTACAGCGTATCAACCTTCACTTTTTTAAATTCAGAAAGATTTTTAATTCTCTTCATAATTTTTGGAACACATAGGTACATAGACAGAATGGGCTGCTGCTAGTGATGGACAAGGAGGATGGAAGGGACCATGACCATTTATGTACTAAGAGGAAAGGAATGGACGACTGAATGAACCACAACCGGGGATAGTTAGGTTTGTTTTACAGCAAGTAAACCCATTTTAGGTCATGTGATGCCGAAACTGATTGTGATTGAAAATAATACTCAGCTTAAAAGCTTTCTTGTGTATGTATGTATGTGTGTGTATAATTTATATATTATGTTCATATTTTTGAGTAAAGTCTTATTTCTTTTAGAAAGTTTATTATTTTGGGAGAGTGGATTTTGTTGAATAGTTCTATCAAATTGTTTACTTGGTAATATCTTTATTGAATTTGGTAAAAGTCCTGACAATCCAGAAATATGTGTTTTACCAATAGTCTCTCTTGACATACTATACATATTGTGGGTTCTTCACCATCCAGTAGATATTTGTGAGTGATTTGGGTGTGGCCTCTGTGGAGGTGGGTCAGTACTACTGGTTGTCTTTTGCTTTTGATGTTTTCAGTCTGCCATTCTTCAATGATAGTTTTAACATTTTGGTTTTCATTAGCAGAGTTTTGTGCAAAGTTCTCTGCCAGTAGGTTTGCTATATCGTTCTTGTTTGTGACCGATTGTTTTTGATAAGGCATTTCAGTAGAGGGTATTGCTGTATTTTCCAGATATTTTCTGGATCATCTTTCATAATGTTTTTACTTTTGTGTCAGTATTCATCTTATTTACAAAGTTTCTCCAACATTTCTTTTTGATTCTTTGATTGTCTTGCTAAGGCTCTGCAGTTTTTATTGTTATCAAGATTTTCTGCTGTTGGATTTTAATCAAATTTCCTTAAAACTGTGTGGTGTTTCTTGATAGCTTCTTTGCATTCTTTGTTAAACCAAGGTTTGTTATGTTTTATTGCAGGTTGAAATTTTGGAATGCATTCTTTTGAAATAGAGTAATGTTTTGGTGAAGAATATTATATGATCTTGGTTTGTGTTTCCTTGAAAGATTAGCTGATTTTGACACAGTTATTTTTTTAATATTTTTTCTCAATTAGCCTTATGAAGATTCCAATTGGGAGTTGTATCTTCAACTTCAGGGTCATTTTGTTCAAGTATGATTGGGAAATGATCACTCCCACATGTATCTTCATGCACTTTCCATTTAAAATCCAAAGTTTGTTTTGGTACACACATGGTAAAGTCAATAGATGAGTATGATCCCGTTGCTGGGTGTAGAGTTTTATTGTTGAATATGAAAAGGTTCTCTATGTTAATTAATTTCTTTATTGTTTTACTTTTTTTTTATTAGTATTTTCCTCATCCCACATTATGTTATGACTGTTAAAATCTCCCATTAGGATATACAGCTTTGGAAGTAGTTTTGTTAGATTTACCAGTACAGTTTCTGTAATATTGTTGCTTGGAGGGATGTATACTGAACATATGGCAATTTTGTTTTGTTTTTAATTTTTGCTAATACAGCAATTGCCTGGAAGTGTGTTCAGATTTAATTGTTTATATGGAGTTTTATTATGAATTAATATTGCGATTCCCCCGAGGCTCTATCTGCTTGATTAGATATATATATAAAAATTGTAAGCTGTGTAATTCTTTGTTTATTGCCTTATTTTCTTTAAGATGAGTTTCCTGCAGACAAATGATGGCAGGGTGTATATTCATAATTTGTAATATCAGTTCCAACAGATTGGGTTTGATGTCACAGATATTCCATTGCATGACATTTTTTGCCATTACCTTAAGTTTGTTTATCAGTAATCATACTTTCCGTGCTATTGCTTCTGCTCAGTGAAGGGGTCATTTTAGGTGCTTTTTTTTCCTAAATCTTTTTTCCTCTTTCTGGATTTGTCTTTTTGAGAATCTTTACTAAAGTGCTTTGGTCTGTTTTGAGTCATACTCTGTTTTGCTTTTATGATATTCTTGCTTATTTTTGCTAGTTTTTTTTTTAAGGTCCCAGTACATAAAATTTATTTTGAGTGGGGACCTCATTGATATTAGTTCTTCCCCCCCCCTTTTCCTTGTTCAGGTGTAGTTAATTTTTGGGTTGGTATTGCCTTTGATTTATCATTGGTTACCAGTGATTTTTCATTTTTTTGTGGAACTTGGAATGTTGATTTATCTTTTTGATATGATTCATTTATGGATGGGGGTCTTCATAATGAGACTAGGTCTCAATTCATTTATGAATGTTTGACAGTCATTTTGTCCTAGTTCAGTCATCTTGTGACTAGATTTTGGTAATCACCTGACTTATTTCTATTTGTATTATTTTCTCTCTAGTAATATCAGCATCACTCTTTTTTTGAGATTGTGTCTTTATAACATTAGAGAGGGTTTGGAATAAATTGTTCCACTTTGTTTATTTCACATCCTATTCTTATGCTTGTTGGAATTTGAAGAGTATTAAATGTTATTATGTAAGTATTAGTTTGGACCATCCCTTTTTATGGACACTCTTCCGGCGTCCGTGACACCCTGGTTCTTTAGTTCATTTGTTATATCTTCCAAGGTGCATAGACAACTCCCCACTTCTTACCACTCCCTTGGAGCTGTTCAAGTTTTTATGGGAATAACTTTAGTCATTTTTTAGTAAGGTGTCTGCATACCGTTTCTTCCCCCGAAAATTTTAAAACTTCATCATCATCACACTTGCCCCACCCACTTTGCTGTCCCAAATTGGGACATGAAAAGGAGGAAACCCATTTGCCTTGCTATGACAGGGATATGTAGATGATATACCCACACCTTGAGAGGAACTTCAAGCACCTGTAATTCATTAGTTTCTTCAGTTTAAATACCTCAGAGCATCAGGGGGTAAATCAGCCATATTTTCTTCTTTCAAACCAATTGACCCATAGCCACCACTTTCTATCATATATTTGGGAATAAATTAGTCAAGTATTAATGGCGAATCGAGGAAGTTGTGTGTTATATACGATAGGGCTTGATATGACCAATTGATTGATCGGATCAGGTCTCTCCGACTGCCTGTCTAGACCAAGTAAGGTACTAATTGGAGTGTTGCAGTTAATGGTCTCTTAAATTACAGGGTCATCAACTGCTCAGCCACCAGGATCCCGTCCTCACACAACACTGTTCACCACCCACGGCAAACTGGTTACCCCCTTGTGGGACATTTACTGCCTGCAAAGGTGTAATCAGCAGATTCTGACCCCTCTGACATGGCAGACTGGGGATGGACAAAGATGGAAGGGATCACAGCTGGTAAGTGGACAAAGAGCAGAGGATAGGACCACAATTGGTGATGGACAAAGAGGGGAAAAAAAACTGAGACTTGAAGGGACCACATGTGAGGATGGACAAGGAGCAGAGGACAGAAGCAACTGAACAGGGCAAAGCAGGAATAGAAGGAACTGAGTGAGATATAACAATATAGTTGGAATGCTCCTGACCATGCCACCCTAATGCTTTAGGTGATAAGCAGACTTATGTTCTGGTTGAAACATTGCATTCCCAAACCAGCCACATGTCATACAAAACTGATGCTTACAAATTCCCAAGATGGATGAAAGGACCAGAATACTTTTTAACAAGATATTACTAAGACACTGCTTAGTCTAGTTATTAAGTGCATAGGTGTTTCAAACTAGCATCTCTCTCTTAATGCTTGACAGCTGTATGCAGGAATCTGATTTCTGAACAACTAGTTTGCAACTAATGATGATAGAATCACAATCATGAGAGAAAATTTGGTTTGTTATCATGATCTGTGTTGGTCTATTTATTCACTTGTCTCACATCTGTATCCATGTTTATTTTTTCACTCTTTGGAGAAGCTATCTGGTAGCTTTATCTTACAGCTGTTGCTATGTCCTGTCCTTCTCATGTAATAGTGGATCCACCATATCTCTTCCTTCAGCCCAACTTAATTGTCTGGCATTCAGATGGGAATCTGATATGCTGGCTTGTCACTAATTATGTTTCAGTATGATTTGACCATTAATTTACTTTTATAAGAGTGTTTCAAAACTATACAACTGTTCTTCATCTTGACAAAGCTTCTCATAAATGACTTCCCAAAACCTATTCTTGTTATTAGACCACAAATAAATGTCTTTATTTAAACAAATCACAAGTCCTATTAGCATTGGCAGTTATTTATCATTTTTGGCGTTCTCTAAATTATTCTAACAAACCACATCAATTCATTGGATAGGTCTTTATGAAAACAACTTTGTTTCAAGGATTTGTAGGAGTGGGTAAGAGATGATTTACAACATATCATTTTTAACCAAATTTGACTACTGAGTTAACTTAAATTCCTTAAGCAACTTGTAACATCTAATTTCTGAAAACTAATTTCCTTAATTAGGTGTTTTCCAAATTTAATTTCAATCACTAAATACAATCAAGCCTTATCTGACATTTTCCATGTTTCTATACAATAAAATATAACTGTTCATAAACTAAAGTTAAAACTTCCTGAGGTTCTTCTTGATCTACACATGTGGATCCTCATCCACTAAGTCATAGAAGAGGAGACATGAGAGAGTATACATAAGAGGTAAGATGGGAGAGAAGTGGTGTGAAAAGAGTTAAAAGGAGGGAGTGAAGGCAATGGAGAGAACCCAGAGTGAGTGAAATGGAATGGAAAGTTTGGTAGAGAGGAAAGAAAAGGGTAGATAGAGACTAAAAGAAAATACATGGATGACTTGTAAAACAAAAAAATGAAGACATATTTGCAATACATTGTCAGCAAGTGCATTAAGAACCAAAGACAGAGTGAGGGGCGGAAAATAATTATGACAATAAAAACAAGAAAAAGTAAATTAATTCTTCATAGTTCCCACATGTTGACAACCACACAATGGTATAAAAGCAATGATAAAGAAAATAATGAAGTATTAAAAAGAATTCAATGCTAGTCAGATAAACAATACCATTCTTAACAGTCAATGGAAGATTTCATATTTATACATGAGGATCATCTCCAATTCCTTCCCTGGTAAACAAAGAATTTACGTTATGCTGAAATCCATTGTGTCTTGACCTGTACATCTGTCTAACAGGTTAATATATGCTACCATTTTCAATTTTCTTCATCTCCAGCAATGTTTCCTCTCCATAATTATCCATAATTTATCAGGAATTGTGAAGAAGTAATTACTTACAGTGGATTCAGAATATTGAACAAAAGGTTTAATAGATTAGGAATGTGGCAAAAACTGTCAAAATATAAACTGAAAAAACAATGAAGGTAGAAACGAAATGAATTAAAGGGATAAAGAATTTGCGTTTAAAAACCAAAAAGGAAGGAAAGAATAGATGAGTTATTAAAAAAGAGAAAGATAAACCAAATGTAAAGACAAGAAACCAAAAAAAAGACAAACAAGTAAATAATGAAGGAAAAAAATATAAATCTGTAAATAAGAAATGACAGAAGAGAAAAAACAAATGCATTTAGATCATGATTCAAACTTACCTACCTATTTACAGAGACTTATTTATTTTCCTTTAAGTCACAATTATTTACTATTAACCAAAGATCAACTTAATTGTAGTAGAAAAAAGAAAAAAGTTTTCCTCTGTCCAGAGATTTAGTACACCCTTCTTTAACTATTATCAGCTATGCGTTGGTCATACAGCAAGCTATTCTTGTATGTTATTAATACAGTAGTGGTTTCAATCCCCACTGGATGCTCTACACTGGTGTTGTGACAGAAAAATACCCCTATTTTAAGCTAATTATTATCTCAACAAAAAAAAAAGAAAAAAAAAAAAAAAATTATGTCACTTACTTGTTTCTTTAGCAGTAATGAATATTTTCACACCACTGATAAGGACTGGAGTGAGATTTTTCACTTGATCCAGGGATCGTATTAGCATATCACGATGGACTTGGTGAGTCAATTCCTTCTCACGGGCATCGACTTCCTTAATGATTTTGGTCAGCACAGGACTGAGGTTCTATAAAGAGAAATGAAAAGTTAGAGAACAAAATATTGAAAAGGATTCTATCTTTCTTTTTTCTTCCAGTGTTAATTTTCAAATGATTTAAAAAAAAAAAAAAAAATAACCAAAATTTTAACCACCCTATTACATAGAACAAAAATCAACTATTTCTACATATGTAAATCTGTAGATTCATTGAATGCATAACGATGTTACTATCAGAGAACCACAGATGTAAATCTAACAATTTTATTTTCACATCCACAGCAGAAACAAAAACACTTTGTATAAAAAATATTTTTGATAGAACTAAGACTATATCCCTAGACATGAGTGGTAAATCAAGAACAGTCTACCACTGTAGAAGGGTTCAGTTCAGAATTTTCTATAAGTTACCTAGATTGATATACACTTGAGGAAAGGTGAAGGGCACAATGGCTGAAACAAGAAAGGTGAGGACAATAGTTCAAATATAAATAGTGTAATCAATAAGATTTTATTTCAAAGGAGTTAAAAAAAAAAAAAAAAAAAAAAAAAAAAAATCAGAAAAAAAAAAAATCAAAGATACAGGATATGTAAATATTAAAATATTGAAAGTCTAGATTTTGTTGCTTGCAATCTTTTTTTTTTTTTTACCATATCCAAATGATCAAATGTTTATGATAATCAGAAACAAAGCTGATTTTAATTTAGTAAAATAAAATAAGTATTACAAAAATCCTTTTAGCAGAAATTACAGTGAATTATATATATATAACTAAACCATGTTTCTATAAAATTTAGATAAAAACAAAGAATTTAAAAGGTAAAGGAACAGAATGAGAGGATACAAGTGAAGAGTGAGTGAAAAGCAGAGGAATGAAATAATAATTTTAGGTGTCAAGCATGAAATTTCTATGGATTCAGCCAGTAACATTTTGTCTGATTAGTGTGTTATAATTAGCGTGTTATAATTTTATATGATTAATCCATATTTGTGAATTGATAAGAATGTGAAATTTCTAAGTACTTGAAAAACATCAAGAGTCAGACAATTCAGCCTAATTTACACAGACATTAGGACAGAAATTTGTGACATTATCCAATAAATTAAGCCCAACCCAGATTTTCTTCAGTATTATGCTTCAGATGTGAACTAAATAAATCAACTTAATCTAGTATAAAAACTAGAAAATGGAGTATACAGTAAGGACTGAACTCACTAACAATATCATATGAGACTTGTATAGTTACTAAATTTAACCTAGTCAAGTACAATGCTACAATAATGAGACAACCAATGTCAAACTAGGGACAATGGTACCCAAGACTAACTTGCTAAACATTTAGGATTTTATTAATATTTCTTAATTGAGACATAAAAAATGAATTGTGTTTTGATCAAGCAGGGGAGTAGGGAAACAATAGTCCAGAACTCTCCTCCGTTGACACAAATCTGAAGAGTAAGGTACCCATCAGTTTGGTATTTACTTACCATACTACAATGTGACACAAATTACTAAATATTAGTCAAAATCAAAGTTTTATGGTTGGGTCTTCCAGAAAAGGGTGTAGCCTAAAACCTATTACTAAGTGTAATGAGAAATACTGCCAAGTAGATGACTAACCAGTTACAATGACCAGACATCTGCTTACACAAATTGCTGCTTTACAGATACCAGTAACATGTGAAGAGGCCTGTCAGGGAGCATATCTTAGAATCCCAACTTTATAAAAGGAAACAGGATTAATCTTGTACAGTTATATAATTATTGTTTTGTGAACTGTCCAGTATAGAGAGGAACAGTTCAGGCCATTCCCAAGAACTTCTAACTGCAGTTAGTTTTAAACAATTAAATAAACAGAATTTGCACCAAGGCCTGAACACCAGATTCATTGCACAGGTTAGGGATTATTTAGAAATGTTTAAAAATTTTTTCAAGAATTTTTTGCTTATCTCAAAATTTCTCTTTCCATTTTGATTCTATTTATCTAACTTGTCTCTTAACAAGATTCATGTGTCAGAAGAACTTGCCATTTCAAGATTCAGTTTAACTCAAAAGATAACCTCTTTTATAATCAAACCCCTTTCCCCACCATGGGAAATAAAAGAGTGTTAGGAGGGAGAAGAGAGAAAAAAAGCAAAGAAATAGGAGGAAAGCAGGAGTGAAGTAAAAGAAAAAATTATTAATATATACAAATAACTTATTTTTCTTTCCATTTCATTATATACAAAGAAAGTGCTTTCCAAAAGTTTGAAAAATTTCAACAAACCTTCACTATATCTAACCTTTGTATGTCTGTGTGAAAAAGAAAGTAACTTTTTTTTCATGGTCAAATTCTCTGAACTTTTGGATAAAAAAAAAGATTCTTGCTTGATCAAGAAATGATCCCAATTAAAATTCTCAAAATTACGTTCAGAATCTCTTCCTCAGATTGGAACTGAAAGCTTTTCCGCATACACACATACATACACATTTTAGGGCATTAGAGAATGCCCAATAACCCCAATTATTGTTATAATAGTAAGATTTACAGAAAAAAAAAATTGAAAAAATTAGATATTTTATATTAACAGACTTAAGAGATAAGTTGAAACTTTCTGAGGTTTTCTTCATAAAGTACAAATGGTGTATTCTTCACACAACACCAAGGATATTGTTGAATACTGCAGAAAGAGGCAACTGGAAGTTTTTAATCTGGTGTCTAAAAATAAACTAATGACAATTGAAGTGTCACAACAGATCATCTAGTACACAATCTCCCCTAAACAATTATACTAGATAATCTCTTTGCTAACCATTTTCCAACCAACAACAATCAAACTATCAAAGCACAACTATCTTTTTCTGTCAATTGCAAATCTTCATTAATAAAGATTTATTTTATGTTAACTTATATTTTCATATTTTCTTCTATTGGTACAATCAAAATGAGTGAACATTATCATAAATCCAGTCATTTTAAATGTGAACAAAGAGAGAAAATAGAACTTTTGAAAGTTGAGCCCCAATAACTTATTCAATAAAAAGAAGGCTTATCTTATATATATATATATATTTATAACATAAATAAATAAATAAAAAAAATTTAAATACCAACTATACAACAGTTTTTTGAAGACTGTCTTTCTGTCATTGCTTCAACAAATGACAAAGTGGAAACTGAAATTAGGGAAATACCAGTCCCAAGTCCATGATTTTAATGTCAGTGGCATTGGTACTTTTAAGGATTCATGCTAATAACTGACCTTCATAAGTTTACTCTAATTGGGCCTTTAGTATTACCTCAAAATATTGACACTTTTTTTCTTTGTTACCTTTTCCTCTATAAATGAACTAATGTCAAATTCCTTCCAAGCCTTGCTAAACAAGTTTTGTCTAATAAAATGGTTGGTGGCTCATTTCAAGTATTTTATGACATGAAAACAATACTTTCACATTAAAACTATATTATTCCCTGGTGAAATTGTGAGCTCCAAGTAAAAATATCAAATATTAATGATTGTCAAGTTTACAAAAGCCTTAATTCCCAAATTGATAAATTTCACAATTCTCCATTGAGTTTCAGATTTTATTCTTTTGTCTTGGCACAGGGGTCTGCAAATTCCCAGTGATTTACAAGAATTTGGAAATTTACACAATAGACTTTATATGTTAGGATTTCCCAAGTTCCTCTCAAACCAAGACACCAATTAAATACTAATAGAAAATATGATTATTAAAGTTTAAAAAAAAAAATCTAGACAGTATAGGAACATTATTTAAATATAACTCTCTAAATGAATTTAGTCATTTTTGTGGTAATAAAGTACAAATTGATGTACTTTTAGAAAATTCATTTGCAAAATATTATTGTCTGATAGCATATTCATTGCTAAATAGCAGATGTCAAAAATTATCACTTCTTTTTATTATGTTCTCTCAATGAGCAAAAAATAATTTAGGGAATAATTTTTTTTACTTTTATCAATGGGAAGTTAAAAAAAAACTCAATGTTTTGGAAATGAAAACTGTACAACAACAAACCAAAAAAATAAATGGGCAGAAACAGAAATAGGAAATGCATACCAAATAAAAAAATAAAATTAAAAAAAAAAAACCAAAAGTCATTGTTTATTATAGAACTTAAAGAAATTGTATGAATGAGAAAGAAACCAAAATGAACAACAGCATTAACTTGAAACCAGATAGCTGCCAGCTATCTATTCCAATCATTTAGTCTCACTTCAGCTGATTTAATGAATTTGAATATCATTTGTTTATAGAGGATTCATCTACAAGTGTTACTTTAAGAATAACTAAGAGATTTATTTAGAGATTAGAACTTCAATCTTCTTTCTACCCTTGCTCCTATCATAATCTGCTGTTGAAATATTTCTGATTATATATATATATATAAAATAATTCCTGAACATAGTTTATAAAACTTGTTAAATCAACTTTTAAGAGAGCAGATGTGATCTATCTTCAGATAAATTCCTTAGACATGTATTAATGATATATTACTATGTAACTTGTCAGTAGGTTTTTTTTTGTTTTGTTTTTTAAATGAGAAAACATTTATCAGATGTTTAACCACATATGCTTTGTATTTGCTGTGTGATTCCTGCAAATGTTTGGTTTCAGGATCAAATTATTATTGAAAAGGTTTTAAAAACATCATGGTCAAACACATTCAAATTATAATGTCTTTAAATGTCACTTATACAGTACATATTTCTAAAACTTCAGTATTGAGAGATATCAAAGTAAGGGGATCTGCTTCATGTATTTCAAAATCAAAGTTTTGTTTTTAGACATTATGCAAATTTTGCCTTCATGTGTTAGGTTGGCATCTTCAGCTCAGAATGAAATAATGAAAGAGTTGTCATTTTTTTTTTTTTGTATTATATCCATTAATATCTTCTGGATTTGAAATTAATCAACTCTAAGTAGATAACTTATTCTCTCTATTAGCTCATGCACCACATTATGCTGCTATTCTTTTGTGATGATTGGTGAAACTATATATAAGCCTGATCCTCGATTTATCACCATGAATTATGAGATCAGCACAGTCTCAATGAATTTTCTTAGTAAATCCTTTTCTCTCCTCATCACACTGGCATTTATTAAGTCAAAATTGTGGCCAGATGTACTACAGTGAACCAAAAGTGCATTTAAGTGTTGTTATGCAGCACATCTGTGATGTTTATATAGACTTCTTTATTTTTAGATTTCTAATGTTTTGCCATCATTGGGTACTTTGTACAATTTATTTTGTATATTCTTGCCGCTGTCCTGCTGTTGTTGGTATCACTGTCTCATTTCTCCACTTTTATTTGGATACTATTCTACATCTTACTAATGTGTGTATATATATAAGCCAATATTATATGGTGTAATGGATAAGAGCTCAGAAGGAGTTCAAATTCTAATCAAGTTCATTATATTCACTTGTGCACAAATACCCTTGGGAAAGGGTATGAATTCATCTCTTCTCCCACCTAACTCTTGCTATTGGTGAATATCAGGACCCACTGAGCCACATAGCCTTGGTTGGCAATCAGCCTATGAAAAGAAAAATTCTGAATTCAGAATCTGAGGAGGATTGTTTGGATACCTTGTGGTACAATATATTCACCAGTTCTCTGTATTTGGTTCTTCCAAAAAGTGTGGTTGGTTCGGCACAAGCCTTCACCCCTATAATCAAATTATATATATGGATAGTCAGATTGCTCAGTTCTAAGAAATGATGGGAGAGTCCATTATATCTCAGCATATATCTATCAAATCCATTTATCAATCAATATATAAGGCTGTATTTTTTCTTCAGCTACTGTCCTTTTACTCTATATATGATTTCATTTATTGTTAGAAAAATTTTCAAAAATTTAATTATATATTTGAGAATTTATAATCCTATAAGAAAACTGCTTGAGAATTAAGGTGCAAAAAAGAAACCATTCTTGTTCTTGGAGATTTCTGCACTTGACACTTAACATACAAGTGTGTGCATAAAAAATTATTTACCTTAACATAAGTGACCAAGTCTTCCATTTTGTCAACCACCTCAGTGATAGCCAGATATTCCAAAACATTCTTGCAGACTCTGATGATCTTTCTGACTTCAGACTCATCAAAAGCCAACAGAAGGGATGAGGTGCCTTGAAGAATACCTGTAAATCAAAAGTAATAAAATGGAGATTTGTTTTTGCAATTAGACAACAAAATAAATATCAGCTCCAGTAATGTTAATGAAAGATTTCCTTTTTTTAGTGTGCTATATTCATTAGTATATTTTCTTAAAGGAAATTTCTGAACAGCATTAACTGTTTGTTGGCCTGGGTAATTGAAATTAAATGAGGAATGGGATAATCAGATTTGAGATTTTATTATTATTATTTTAAAAAATTATAATAATCATTTGTAACATGCTGAGAAGACGACTTAAATTGTTTTGGAGTTAATGATTAGTTACACACTATCATTGATACTTTATTAAAATTTTACTGGAAAGCTAATATCTCATTAAAATTTATCCAAAAAGGGTGCAAAAAAGGAAGAAATATCTGTCACAAATGGTTCAATATTCAATTATGTTGTAAAAGGAAGGTAGAGTAACGAATGCACCTAAAATAAACATACTACAGACTACAAGCAAAAAGAAAATCAAACAAGATCAATGTTAGAATCTTCAAAGTTGGAGAAGCAGAAAGTGGTATTTTTCACACCCACACATCTGGATAGATAGCAAGAGTGAAAATAACCATGTTAACTATTAACAAATGGGCATAAAATATAAGTCATACATATTTGAAAGAAAATCAAGAGAAGTTTAAAAGTAATTTTGTTAGTAATTTTATTAATAAAAAGGAAAGGTTATTTAATAGGATGACCGATATAAATGCTGATGTGTCAACAAACCATACTATTGTATTAGAAAGAATTGATTTTAAATTATCTATCTCATATCTGAAAGGATACAAATCTTGGTTGAGACTAAAATAAGAGGTACCAATCACTGTGGTCCTATTTTGCATAAAAAGGTAGGAGCTCAAAACTATAATACACAAAAAAAAAAAAATCCATACAAATCCACTATTCCAAGATTTGTTCCGATAAAAGTATTTATTTTTTTCATCATATATCAGCCAATATGTTCTCAATCATTTCAGTGTATAACATGTTACTTAATTTTCATAAAATAAAATCTTTTTTGCTTATCCTGTTACCAGACAAATTAAAACTATTGATGGAGATGATCAACAAAAATTTACTGTGTACTGAAAAGTTATACTTCAAACAATTGAATAAATACAATAATGATTTTAAGAAGATGCTTTCTGTATGAAGGTGATCAATAGTCCAAACAAGCCTGGGAATAATTATTACATCTCAGAAGGCACTTTGGTATTAAGTACTGACATACACAAGTTGGATTATACTACAAGGTAGCTGAACAAAACAGTTTAAACTTACTATGATTTATTGCAGCACAAAACATGGCAAAACCACAAAATGATGAGTGACAAGACTGGATTAATTTGTTTGTTTTTTTTTTTTAATTAAAAAGCACAAATTTTTATGTAATTGTAATTTTCTGAAATTCTGAGGTGAAATATTGTCATTATTCCACAAATTATTTCTACTGGAAAAGCTTGACCTCCCTCTCACCTATGAAACCCAAAATCAATCAAGAGTCACCACAAAAATGACATGCTGTCAGTTATGGAAATAAATAGGTTGCATGTCAATGTGTATTTTAAGTGAATGTGTGGCTATTCATATGTAAACAATAAAAGATAGAAGCATACAAAAGATTTGTTTTGATTATGGATATTTATTCCTTTTATGGTAACTGTAGTGGAACAAAGTTCTCAATGTCTCTTGGGTATGTATTTTTTTCTTTTTTTTTTTGGTCATTAAGTTAGAGTAGATAAATATCATATTCATGGTGGAGTTCAAGTTTGCCTTGTACGGATTAGAAACAATCAAAAGGAAAGTTTCTACTTACTTTATTGTTGGATGATTTAAACATGGTTATGGGATGTCCATTTTTTTTTTCTTGGTCTAGAAGTTAGGGTAAGTCCGTACAAGTATCATTACTATGGTTGCACTCATATCAGCCTTGTACCAAGTTTGAACAACCAAAGAGAAAACATGGCTAACTTTATAGATTGAGAATTTGGAAGAAACATGTAAGCACCATGCATTGGAAAATGGGAAGAGAGTTCAGTGGACAGGAGAAACTAACATACACCAGTGAGAATGTAATTACCATAAGGTTCACATCTTGGAGCAAAGTGGAGAAAGCAACTGAGGTAGGACATATATTTTTTTTTTTTTTTTTTTATAGGCTTCAACAATGCCACTTAACATTTGGTGAAACTGGGGCGAGGGGGGGGGTCATATTTCCAGCTTCTTTACTCTTAGCATTATGGGAAAATGTATTTATTTTTATTTTGATTACTCATTATTATTTTATCACTTTTATTTCATTTTCTTACAGTTTCAACTTTTGATTCCTTATATTATATTTTCTTTTATATATACACACAAAAACATAGCCAAAGCAATGATTAAAGTTAGATATTTTTTTATGTGAAATCCTCATGCACTATGCAATACCAACATCTTGAGATTCTTGTGCATCATTATTACATATGCAGAGTAGGTTATGGCAAACAATTCTTGGCATGGACTGGACACTACTTGTTTCCTGTAAATGTATTTGTATTCAATTGATACTGTATTGGAAGTCTTATGTTCACTTGAACTACAATCTATCATCCACTACGTGTCACTTGTAACAATTTTGATTTGATACATGAAAGTGATCATTCTTAATATCACTCAACTGCTGACTATTTAATCACCCAAGCACTCAGCTGAACAGAAGTTAGCAAGTAGAGTGGGCTTCAAAAAAATTATCTTAATCTGAAATACAATAAGCATTATGCAAACATTTCTATTATGGTTTAAAAAAAAAAAAAAAAAAATGGTATAGCACATTTACCATGATAGAACATGCTAACCCAAAAATTCATGTAATTTGAACAGAATGTATGAACTGAATGTATTGTTTTTTTTTCTGGTTACTCTCAAAGTGCAAATATCATACACAGGATTAGAGATCATAAAAAAGTTTTATGCCAGTCATTTTCTTTTTTTCATTGACGAATTACCCAAACTTTTGGATAACACTTCATATCTAAATTTGAAACATTTTCAGAAATTTGTACTTAGCACTTGTCTTCTCCCCAGAAGATTCTTTTAACAAAAACTGTCATCAAGTTCTTATATAACCATTGGATTCATTGTCTTTTATTTAAAAAAAAACAAACAAAAAAAAAACAAAAAACATTAATTCCTAGCAAACTAATATAAAAACAATTTTCTAGTTGTTTTTCTAATGCCATTTGAACATTTCTTCAATTTCACTAATGTCACAAAAATTAGGTCTTGATAGTTACAGCAATAACAGAATGAAATTATGGTTCATACAGTATGACCCACAAACATAATACACATATTCTATAACCTTCTCTCTTTAGAAACATCTAACATCACAAACTTTACTCACCCACAACAGATTTCTCAGATGATCAAGTTACCCAGAACCATCCAACATCCCCCATAGAGAAGCCCAATTTCAGTACAGAATATTTTCCAAGTATTAAGAGAAGACAAGAGATGTGTGTGCCAACAAAAATAATCTCTCGAGACATTGAAGATTCATGTTAAATAAATAAATACAAGAATGCCAGCTTTTTTTAAAAATAGATTTAAAAATGTAATAATGGTAAAAGAGGCAACCAGATATGAATAAATGCAATCAGATAAGTGAATTACTCAGTAACCTGAAACTTAAATCAGATAGCAAGTTTTATGTCTAACATGAAGATGTGGAGAAAAAGTAACAATGATTACTTTTTTTTTTTCTTCTACAGAATTAGTTCAGGAATTAGACAATGCCAAATGACAATCAAAATATTGTATAGGACTGCATTATTGTGAACTCTTAAATAAGTATATATATATATATATATATATATATATATATATATATATATATATATATATAGACAAAGTTTTACATTTAATATAAGATAATTAAGAAATTTTGATGACAGGTCAACAACAATTGGCAAACAGCACAAAATACCAAAACTGTAAAGCAATTTCTTTTTTAATTTTTTCTATGTTGATAATAACTACAGGTGAGATTAGGCCAAAGGTCTTTGATCTGGTCTTAATAATCCATGTTTAGAACATTCATGATAGAAAACTTCCAACTGCATGTTGTTCAAGTTTGCTCTTGAAGGCTCACAGTGATTGTACATCTATCACTGAAGGTGGGAAACTAACATATGTCTATGATAATATCTAAAGAAGTTCTGAGACTTGTGTTGCACTCAATTTTTTCCTACTCAAATGAGTAACTTTGAGTGATGCTATTGCTTCCTATGAAAAAAGGTCTAAATGTTATATAATCCATAGGTTCTATCTCAATCATACCTACCTTGTTTCTCTTGTAATGCATAGTCAATATACTTAACGATGCTAAAATCAATAAAATGCAGACAGAGTGCCTACATCTAAAAACTAGCACAACTTGATCAGCCCTGGCATCCTGCTGGATTCTCTAACCTGAATTTCTATGTCTGTGAAAATGATGTTCATTGTCCACATGTACATCCAAGATCTGTCTATATTTCCGAGATGAGGTATTATGTACATTTACATTATTCGGACTACTGTCCTCATCTTTGTCGCCATATTTATTACGTTTCGGCTGTTGTATGCTCTGGCCTTCTTCAGATGGTTGGAATGTCGAACTTAAGCATTTATTTCGCTCACTGGGATAGACTGTTCTAGTTCCATGTGCCATTTTTTAATGGATGTCAGTTATCAGTTATCTCCTGTTAATTTCCCTCTGAAAGTTCTCCACTGCCTTAACCAGGTATTGAACCCACACTCTTTGGGTCCTGTCACTGGATCTAATTTAATGCCTTTATCCACTGTACCATGTGTCCTTGAAACGGCTGAAATGTAATAAATATGGCAACGAAGATGAGGACAATAGTCCAAATAATGTACATCCAAGATATTTTTTTTAAGTGGGACAATTTCAGGGATTCCTTGTCAATGCTTTTATAAAGTCTCATGGACTAAT